AACTTTTGTATTAACCTGGATGGAAGTGGAACATGTTCTTCTTAGTAAAGCATCACAGGAATGGAGAGGCAAGAATCCAATGTACTCAATTCTAATATGAAGGCAGTAGATGAGCTAATACAAGGTGGATGGTAGGGGGGTGAGCAAGTGGAGTGGGGAGGTGGGGGTCATGGTGTATGGCATACCTTTTGGAAGCGGAACACAATTATAAGAGGGACTTTAATAATTGCAATCAGTGTAATCTAACTCTTTGTACTCAAAATGAACCCCAAACAGTAAAACAAAAGACAAAAACAAAAATTATTATTTTCAAGTTTCAGCTCATCCAAATAACAGATGAAGTGGCAACATTCTTGGGTATGACTAACACTTGTAAAGATAGCACTAAACCTACTAAATAACTAACTGTCATAATTAGTTAAGTAAATCTTAGAAGAGCTGCCACAGTGGAATCATCTCACTCAGTAATTTCCTTACTAAAGTGCTAGCATAACTCAAAATTAACTAATTGGTTTCTATTAAAATAAGGTATGCTTCAAGATAATTTTAATCATCTTAATTAAGAGGAACTTTATCTTAAAGGTTATTAAAGTGTCTGAGTTCCACTACTCGATTAAGAATTTAGATTATATCATCTTTATGGTGCAGTATTTTTTACTATCATTGTGTTTATCGTAAGTAAGGCTTCTGGAATACTCACGTAATTGCACCACAGCACTTTCTCCATTTGTTGCAATGTAGTGTAGCGTTTGTTCCCCATAATAGGAAGCGCCCGTCTTGTCCACATCTGTACTAGCAATTACCAACACAGCAGTAGCTGTAATAGTAAAAAACTTTAATTAGATTCACAACACAAATTAAATAAGCATTGATACTCTTTTTTTTATACACATAGGAATATAGTCTAAACCCTTGATAAACAAAATGAGGGATAAAAAATATATATCATACCTTTTTTATTCCACAGCATTGTAACCTTATCAGCCTTAAAGAAACTTTTATTGGCTAAAGCTGCATGAGGTCCACCAAAGTTGGGGTACTGATATAATCTAATAAATGAAGGTGCACCTTTACTTCCCGGAACATAGACAGCCACCTAAGACACACAGGTAAAGCATTACTTAATTTTCTGAAGCATATATGAACTGAAACCAACAATGACAAAAAAATGGGAAAAGCTTATCTGACATAAACAAATAAAAACATAGCGATTACCTTGTATGGTTGGGGTCCAGGTGATAATACAAAATCATTGATTTTTTGCAAATGTAACTTATTTGCAATTGTGTCTAAAAAGAGAGTAAATGGTGTTAAACTGATGACAGAAACTAATAGGAACATGTTAAACTGTGAATGTATTATAAAAGGTTATTATAACTATATATTAATACTGCTTATTGTAGTCTCATATAAATAAGGCAGAACAACTCAAAAAAACCATGGAGTGGCAAGAAAGATTTAGGCTTCAATTCCTACTCAGTCATTTACTAGCTATGTGAGCTTTGGCAAGTGAGTGGATTATAACACCTAACTCCTAGTGATTGACTTTAATGTGCCAGGCACATGTTAGGTTAGGCACATTTTAGTTTTTGTCTCGTCAACCTCTGAAATAAAGCAGGTTTAGAAACTATTAGATGGTACAGTAAACTTGACCTGCTTCTGTGAAACATGGATATGGAAATTCTGTAACAAATGTGATAACTATATAATAATGATCACAACAATGGTAACAATGGCTGCTATTTATTAAGTGCCATACTAGACAGTCAGAATCCATGCTATTAATAATATTGCCGGCTCGGTGCCTGTGGCTCAAGCGGCTAAGGCACCAGCCACATACACCTAAGGTGGCGGGTTCGAATCCCCAGCCCGGGCCCACCAAACAACAATGATGGCTGCAACCAAAAAATGGCTAGGCGTTGTGGCGGGCGCCTGTAGTCCCAGCTACTTGGGAGGCTGAGGCTGGAGACTCGCTTGAGCCTAGGAGTTGGAGGTTGCTGTGAGCGTGATGCCATGGCACTCTACCCAGGGGGATAGCTTGAGGCTCCGTCTCAAAAAAAAATAATAATAAAAAAAATAATAATATTGCCACAGTAGTTAATGGGATCAAGAGCTAAGAGTCATTATTTGTTCAGTTTCAGAAATCAATATCTGTTCAAAAGTAGCAGTATATCAAATGCCAAAGTAGGGAATCTCCTTTGTTTTGCATACTTACAAGAGGCAAGTGAAATAAGAAAGCAAGACAATCTCAAAACAACGGGGGTAGGAGAAAGTGCCAAATGCAAAAAAAGGAAGTGCATGGTTGTCCTGACCGGATGCTACATAAAATCAGCCTGCACGTGAACAGACTTACCAACTCCTATTGTAACTATAATGTACTCAAAAGTGCACAATCAGTAATGGAACATCCTTAAGACAAAAAGAACTACAAACTTGCTGTGTTATTAGAGTTACTGCCGGTATTAAGATTCTATGAATAAATACAATGTAGATAATGTGAAACAAAGCAAATGAATACTTAGGTGAATGTGATATTCTCAAACTATCACTCCTGATGTATCAGGCAAACAGGATTCTTGGGAAGATCCAACCACAGGTGAGACAATTTGATTGTCAGTAAGAATAACGAAAACAATGGAGGAAAGGCTGGGTGAAGAGGTTCACACCTGTAATCCTAGCACTTTGAGTGGCTGAGGTGGGAGGATCGCTTGAGGCTAGGAGTTGAAGACTAGCCTAAGCAAGAGCAAGTCTCCATAAAAATAGAAAAATTAACTGGGTGTGTTAGCCAGGCTGCCACAAGGCTGAGGCAGGAGGATTACTTTGGTCCAGGAGTTTCAGGTTGCAGTAAGCTATGATGACATCACTACACTTTAGTTGGGCCAACAGAGTGAGATCTTGTCTCAAAAAAAGAGAAAAAAACTAATGGGTACAATGAAGGTTGCTAGAGATAAAATACATTATATTAAACTGATAAAAGAAAAAATATTTTATTCTGCTTTTTTTATATAAATTTATCAGTAGTAACCAAATAGTAGATGGAGAAAATTTTCTTTATGAAAATAGTACAGCTAGTAAATAAAGAGTGAGGAAAAATTACAATATCACCAAATTGCAACCACTGAAGAAATAATGCACCTAGGCATGGAACATTAACATAAGACTAAAGACAAGCAGACATGATGTGCTTCTTTTTTTTGCAGTTTTTGGCTGGGGCTGGGGCCGGGTTTGAACCCACCACCTCTGGTATATGGGGCTGGTGCCCTACTCCTTTGAGCCACAGGCGCCACCCCAACATGATGTACTTCTTGATGAAAGAATTGACCACAACCTTAGTCTTGCCCTCACCCACCAAAAAATGAAAAGCCTAAAGCTGGCCAACTCTAGATCCCACTAGCAATTTACAAGGAACAGATGTTAAATTATGCTAGGGGACACAAAAGCAAAATTCAAACTATGAGAAAATATGTAAGACAAGCAACCTTGTTTCTTAAAATAAAAAATTACCAGGGAAATAAAGAGATTAAAAAAAACTTAAAAGATACATAAATCAACTATAATATACAGTACTCGATTTGGATCCTAAGTTTTAAAAAATATATAACATTGACAATTATTAAAAATTTGAACATTGACTAAATATTTATTTTGTTTGTTTGTTTGTTTATTTTCTGACACAGGGTCTGAAGCTGTCGCCTTGGGTAGAATGCTGTGCCATCATAGCTCATAGCAACTTCCAACTCAGGCTCAAGTGATCCTCTTGCCTCAGTTTTTCTGTTTTTAGTAGAGCTGGGGAGGGGGGTCTCAATTTTGCTCAAGCTGGTCTTGAACTCATGAGCTCAAGCAATCCACCCACCTTGGCTTCCCAGAGTGCTAGGATTATAGGTGTGAGCCACTGCACCTGGCCATGACTAAATATTTAATGATATGTGATAATGGTATTGTGGCCAACTTTAAAAAATTAAGTGCCCCAATCTTCAGAGATATATACTAAAGTGTTTAAAATTTTATGTGAAATTGTGATGTCTGGGATTTGCTTTAGCTTAGTAAGAGAAATAGTAGTTGGATAGATGTATGGATAAGATAGGACTAGCCATGTGATAATGGTCATGGGAACTAGGTATCTAATTTCCTGTTTGAAATTTTATACAATAAAACATTTAAAAATTTTTGTGTTGTGGAATCTCAAAAGCAATTAAATTCAACAAGAGGTATTCAAATGTCTTAATTTAATAGCAATTAACAGATAATAAAAAGTTACTATAAAAGAAAACCTTTGTGTTGCAGGTTTTCACTGGATTTAGACTTACAGTTATGCATACCAAAAGAACAGTAATTACTGATTAATAAATTAACAATATTTAAGAGAACCCTATATGCCATAAAAGTTAATGAATACTGTACACAATTATAGTAAATAATAAAATCATTTCATAAATATTTCCATACTAAAATTGTTGTTTTCAAAGAAGTGAACTTCATTGTTAACATTTCGGGCACACAGAGCTTCATCTTCTGACCAGGATGGACACCTATATCAGAAATAAAAAGTCTTAAAAAAAAATGAATTTAGACAGAATGAACAACACATTAACATTTGTGATACTGCTTACTCTTTAAAGAAAAGTAACTATAAATATGGTATCAAATCAGTTACTAAAAGTTATAGTCAGCAGGATAGAAAAATATTGTTCCTTTTCATTTAAATACTAAACAAAAGAAAGATCAAGTTTTAACTCTGTTATATTCTTACACACAAAAATCCTTAAAAATCTAGATTTTAGTCTGGTAAGTTATTTTTAAAATTAATACCAGAAAAACAAATACTATACAGTGATAATATTAAACATGTTGTGTAAATAAATAGTAATTTAAAGCATCTATTTACCAATTTTGCATTTTTTTCTGGATGAAAGATTTCATACATGTCCCAGTTTTCATATCATAAAGTTGTAGGTTGGGTGCCCCAGCTGTGCCATCTTTGGAAGCTGCAGTAAAAACAATTTCATTCTTAGAAAAAACTTGAATGAGATTATAAAGATCAAATAAAAGAGTTGCTTTAAATCAATTTTTCTCTCTAGCCTTAACTATAGAGTTAATCATCCACTCTAAAAGCCAAGACAACAGCTATTTAAGTTAAAAACACAGTATCTCTGAAATGAGTTAATTACTACATATTTTAAGAATACTTAAGAGATTTCTTGAGTTTGACATAGATTTTTGTCAAATGGAGTAATTCATACAGTTACATAAAACCACTCATGATTTTCAATTTCCTTTTTACTTGGAAAAATAAGATACATTAGAGTCCATGTCTCTTGAATGAACAAAACCCTGGAGATTTATAACTTAACCCTACTGTCATTTACTTATGCAATGACATCAGCACTATTAGGAAATGTCTCTTAAAATAAGACCCTATACCAGTTTCCAAGATTTTAATTTCTCACTGATAAAGCACAGCTATAGAAAATATTCATATATTATCTTTAGATCTCTGAAAGGGATAGAGATCGATATACCATTTCCTACTCTTTTTTATCCCATAAACACCTCTTAATGTGTCTATTGTACTTCCTTTCACTTATGATCATTTAAAATGTTTTGATTTTAGAAGTAATTATTATTCTTAATCTTTGAGATCTCCTCTATCCAGCAGTTATTTACTTTGTAAATTTTTCCTTTAGCTTTTTCTTTTCCTCTATCTCATAATGGATTTTTTTCACTGGCTTACTAAATACCCTGAAATCATGTTTCAATATACTGCTATTTACAAAGTACAAGATTTGCTCTTGATTATAAATATTCACAAATACTATTTACTATCATAAAGACTAATTATTTCTTTATAAGGTTATAAGCTTTCTCCTTTTTCCCCCCACTAAATTTAATCTGTCCTGTCAGAATATTTTTACAATGGGAAAATACTTACTAGTATAAGGCTGCCACGTTGCCAGGACAGTGTTTTTTGGTGAGAATTCAAGGCAAACTGCCTTTGGGAGGTCGAAGGAGTGCAGTAGTCCCTTGTTAGTGACATTGATAATATTTACTCTGGTTTCAAAAGAAATTACTTCAGCAATGAAATATTGTTTCATAATGGCCAGCACTAACCAACACATTCATACCTCTTTTCAAATACTGATCACTTTAAATGTTCATTTTTTTCCATTAAACTCGATTTTCAGTAAGTGCTAGAATACGTCTAGGAAATATCTTAACTAAATATCAGTACATTTCATAAAAAGTTTCCTGTGTAAGATCAGTGTTGGGAAATAAAACAGAATTAACAGCAAGACACATGGATGATTCTACCTTCAGCTACCAAGGAGATGACAAGGCCTTTAAACAAACACAAAGCTAACCTACAGAGGCTGGGATGTATTACCCCAAAGGGAGGGCAGACGTGCTAGAAAGAGCAGCAAAAGTGTATTTTTAAATTTGAATAAACAGAAGCTGTAGGAGCTAGGGAGAACAGTAAAGCAGCTTTTGATGTCTATTAAAATCTCAAAAGCAGTCTCCAAAGGACATGACTGTAAGAATTATTGTGGCACAATAATGACAAAAATGCCTATAACCACAATAAAAGCAGTTCCATTTTGGGGATGTTTTCTAAGTACTAGGTAGTGATTTACCCACTTTATGTATATTTTCTCATTTAATCCTCACAACAGACTTTATAAGTAACCATCATTTCTGTCAAATGGTTAAATTTAGCTCAGAAAATCAAAGGATCTGATGATTTGCCAAGTTCATGATATTGATAAATGTCAGAGTCAAGCTTTGAAATCAGTTTGGAGTGACTTGCTTTTATGTACTACACTAAACTCTTTAGGGCAAAAAGAACCCCATAATAATTATACTCCATTTTATTCCAGAAATTGCTGAAATTAATTTTGTTTTACTCAGGTTTGAGGGAGATACCAAGGTTAGGATAAGCAGCAACTGGTAGAAATAAAAGATTACTGCCCATTGTTTAAACACACGCCTATGTAACTTTTTACAACCTACTGAAAATATTGTATTTTAGAACTGCAAGCAGTTTTTTTGCTTTTTGTTGTCATTGTTTTTTTTTTGAGAGGGAGCCTCAAGCTATCCCCCTGGGTAGAGTGCCATGGCATCACGCTCACAGCAACCTCCAACTCCTGGGCTCAAGC